GGGGCTTCATAAAAACAGGAAAAGATCAGCCCATTTCTCAGAGAAGGGACAGAGCGGTGTGGAATAAAGGTAAACTGTGTGAAAAATAATGCGTTTTTTTTTTTTTAAATAAAGCATTAACACATGTTAGACTGCACCCCATAAACACAATCAAGCCTAGTAAAAACCCAGTGAACCACCCCTTTAAGTATCCAAATTTATTCATAATGCACTGTGATTTGCATTTCACATCTCCCTTCATCTCTATTTACTTCACCTTATATTTCTGCACCACTGTATACATACTTCAAATGCTTTGGCAATAGAGTAAATGTTTACAGTCACGCCACTAAAGCTTTGTTTACTGAAATGAGAAGAGAGAAATAAAGATGGTTTTATAGCTAGATATTCTGATTTATATTTTTAATTCAGCAGCAGGTATAACTCAGCAATCAATAACAAGAGATTATTCAAATATCAGCTAAAAATAACTCAGAATAATGTGCTCCAGCATAAGAGTCAACACATGCGTCCACTGCAGAGATGCTGCAAGAAACAAAGCAGCAAGCTGCTGCGCCCCCTACTGGACACAAACCACAACCACTCAACTTCAGCTGACAGACAAAAGAATTCTACAGATATAAAATCTAAGAGAATATTACAGGCATAAGTGAAGAAATAAGATAAGACCTCACCGCTGTTGGAAATGACACAATCTCGACCAGGAAGATCAAGTTATACGAGATGGCAGAAATCACAGGATAAAATCTAGTATAAAATAATCAAGGTGCTCATGCATAGAATTCCTATCTATCTGTCTATCTACCCATCTATCTATCTACCTATATATCTGTCTGTCTGTCTGTCTATCTATCTATCTATCTATCGTTCTATCTATCAGGGTTTTCTTATTTTGCAGAGGTAATTTCAAAGTACATCAAACTGAATTAAAAATCATAGAGAATGAACTTAATTTCTTCTATGATATACAACTGATATTAAAAAAATTTAACAATTAATTTATGATACATGGTATTTATCATATATATTTGTGGGTCAGAAAGTCAACTATATTTAGGAGGCCTCTCTGGAGATTTTAAAAAAGAAAAACTATTTTAAATTATTAAAAGACTACATTTAAAAAAATAATAATTCAATCATAATCTTTTACTATTTACATTTATATTGAAGCAGATTTTAAAATATATTTTCATATATTAAAATTTTATCAGTCCTTTGTTTTATTATTAACAAACTTCAGCTGTCTAATCAACATACAGGAAGCTATTTTGTTGTCATGTAACAAAGAAATTATATCTCAGTCAAAGTAATTTTTTTAGTTTTTCAGGTCAAACGGAATTTTTTTTAAAAATAAAGTAAAAAAAATTATTATATTATATTATATAATAGTCAAGTTCTACGGCTAATTTTTAATAACGCTGTCTTTAGAAAACTCAAAGGCCAAATAAAGCACACATTAAAATCATCACGATTTTCACATTGCTGCTTAATTCTGTTTCGCTCTAGTGGACGTCATTGATGAAACACTTTGAAATTCCAAGGTCAAATACTGATTCTCTCCACAACAGCCCCAACAGAACCGCGGCTACTAATATTCAAGTCCTATTAATGGTCTCACGGTGAGAAGAAAGAAAGACACAGAGAAAGAAAGAGAATGACAAAGACGGAGCGAGGCAGACAACCTCTGAGAGAGAGAGAGAGCGAGAGAGAGAGAGAGAGAGATCTCTCTCTCTCTCATTCAGCTCAGCTCCGACAATGAACTGTTCCAATTATTTAGACGCGCACTAGAGGCGGTTTAGCCAATCACAACGCACTGGGCTAGCTAACCAATCAGAGCCCATCGCCTATTTCTGAGGGCGGGGCTTCATAAAAACAGGAAAAGATCAGCCCATTTCTCAGAG